GACTTTATATACAGTGTTCGTACGTCCTAAACTTGAGTACTGCGTACAAGTGGCCAGCCCCTACTTAAAAAAGACAGTGAGCTTCTGGAAAAGGTTCAGAGAACGGCAACTAAGCTGATTCCTGGAATAGCGAAGCTTCCGTATGAAACTCGGCTGGCCAAGCTGAACCTTTTCCCGTTGTCATATCAGAGAACTACAGGCGACTTGATTACAGTTTTCAAGTTGCTTAGTGATAAATTTGCACCTAATATGCGCTCATTTTTATTGTCTTCCAAAACAGAGAATTAACAAGGACACTCCGAAAAAAGTTAACAAGCCCAGAACAAATTACTTGTCAGTTGACTATCGATTTTCCCATCGAATCATCAAGGAGTGGAGTTCATTACCTGAGCACGTGGTTGAGGCTCCATCCGTCGATTCTTTCAAAAGAAAGTTGTATGAACTGAGAGGCCACCACTGCCAGGACTAACACAGGCCATCAGGCCTGCTGTCCTTCCCAAACTGAAACTGAAACTGAGTCGTCAATACTTGGAACCTGCTGCCCGAAACAGTGGTGTCCGCACCTTCAATTGACTCTTTCAAGAGAAGACTGGACACTCACAGAAGCATACTAGAAAAGGAATAATATAGGCCGTAGGCCTTCTGTCCTTACTACACAAATCTGAACCAGTAAGTGGCATATTCAAACGTAATGCGTCACATACATCTGTCTACAAATTTCTACTAAATACTCTATATAAGCAGGAAAACTGATATCTTCCTAAAAAATAGACTTTACCCTCTTATTTACACTATCGTCCCATTCATTTCCCGGAATGCGCCTTTTTTTCCTCTAAATTAGTTTCTTGAGTATTCATTTTTAGCAATAACTTTATCATAATTTTGGAATTCATATATTTGGTCCAACACAGAATCCTATGAAAATACATTATGTGATCAGAGTGAAGTCCTAAGTGATAATTACACTATTCTATGCAGCTTTAGCCCCCGTAAATGACCGAAAATTTCTCGAAAATTATAGATATTTATATTGAACGCTCGAATATGGAGTCAGCCGTGAACAAGGCCACTCGGGGGCAATAATACAAAGGAAAAGGGATGTAACGCGTTTGAAACGCAACGCGCGCTTCGATCATCAGGTTTCCTTAATCTCACACTTGTGTTATTTTTGTTTGTTGTCAATTGCTTTCGTTATTAAATATTAGCGTATTCTGTGTGCTTGCTGAGTCGTCGGCTCCCTTTACCTTCTCAGATAACCTAATTTAATGCTCCAACACACCAGATACCTTCTGGCTAAACTCAATCCTAATATAGACTGGACATTACAAGAAAGCCTGAAGCTGTGTTGCCATTTTCCTGTGCTACAAAAGGCATGGTTTTTCTTGGAAGCTGCACCGTGCGAGTAAAGCTTGACTTTAAGGACTATACAGTGGTTGATGTGCATATCTGTTATCGGTAGCAACGACCCAGGGAACGATTTATGGGCCAGTCTTGTTCCTTCTGTATGTAAAAGACTTTTCTAGTCTCCTATCGTCGTCATTTTTGTTATATGTTAACAATATCTAGATATGAAGAGCAATAAAAAGCGTTGATTGTCTAAATTACCTGGAGAAATCTATATGGTTTGGAATTTAGCAGTTACCGATAAATTTATGTACTTGGAAGCATCAATTCCTCCAAATGCAACGGTGGATGAAAGGAACCTGATTCTAAGTAATTCACGTAAACTGATTGGATCCGGAATATATGTCCGTGAGGATCTCAGCCTAGTTGATCGTATTCAGATTCAGATTTATGTAGTAAGGACAGAAGGCCTACGGCCTATGTTATTCCTTTTCTAGTATGCTTCTGTGAGTGTCCAGTTTTCTCTTGAAAGAGTCAATTGAAGGTGTGGATACCACTGCTTCAGGCAGCAGGTTCCAAGTATTGATGACTCGGTGTGAAAACCTGTATGCCACGGGTATTTTGTTCGATCTTCACTTTTCTACTCGCCTGCTATGTCCTCTGAGGTGTCCCGATCTAGTGGGAAGAAAGAGAGAGAATAAGTTAGGTCCTAAATCATTTCTCAGTATTCTGTACATCAATATTAGATCTCCCCTTAGTCTGCGATAGGACAAAGTAAAGAGGTTCAGTTTTTCAAGCCGCTCTTTATATGATAACCCCCGGAGTTCCGGAATTGCACACGTAGCTGCCCTCTGTAATTTTTCTAGTATGTCTGAGTCACCTTTGAAACAGGGGCTTGCAGCCTGAACGCAGTTCTCTAACTTAGTTCTCACTAAGGATGTGTATAATGTGGTGAACATGGTAGTGTCTAACTTAGTGAATGTCTGTTTTAAAGCCCAGATGTTTCGAAACCCCTTAACTGCGACCTCCCGGCAATGGGCCGTCGTCTTAAGATCATTGCTCACTGTCACCCCTAGGTCCTTATGAGACCGGACTACGGGTAATGACACATCCCCTATGTTGTACGTATTAACCTTTGAATCCCCCAAGTGCATGTAGACACACTTTTCCGAGTTCATAGGCATCAGCCACTCTTTAGACCAGTTTATCATATTATTTAAGTCCGCCTGAAGAGTAAATGCGTCTTTCTCTCCAGTTATTATTCGCCAAATTTTTACATCGTCAGCGTATAATAACATTGGAGACTGTACTATACTTGTAAGATCATTAACGTACATTATAAAAAGTAAAGGACCTAGGACGTAACCTTGAGGTACTCCACTAAGTACTGGTCTCCAGATGGAGCACTTGGAATTCATTCTTACTTTTTGCGTACGACCTACTAGGAAATCCTTAATCCATTTTAAAAGAGGTCCGGCAATACCAAGGCTTGCCAACTTCAATAGCAGTCTATTAGTTGGCACCTTGTCAAAAGCCTTACTGAAGTCTATGTAGACAACACCCACTGAGTTTCCGTTGTCTAGCGCATTAATCCAGAACTCCCTAGCTAAAAGGAGGTTCGTTGTACAGGATAGACCCTTTCTAAAACCATGTTGTGCCATGTTCAGCAAGTTATTGGTTTCCATAAATGCCGTTATGGTCCGTTTGATTATTCTTTCCAGTATTTTAATTACAACACTGGTGAGGCTTACGGGTCTGTAATTTGATGGAACTTGTCGTAGACCTGTTTTATGTATGGGAGTGACGATTGCGTCCTTCCAGTCCATAGGTAACACACCTTGGTCAAGTGACATTTTGAATATCACAGTCAGTGGGGCTGCGATATATTGGGCAATATGTCTCAAGATTTTAGGGTGTAGTTCATCTGGTCCTGTTGACTTCTTCATGTTTAGGGTGCTAAGAGCCTTAAGCACATCGTTTTGGTCGAAGTCCACGGTGAGCAGCTGGTTTGTTGACTCTGTAATTGGGTCTGGTTCTTTCTCTAGAGGAGGTTCCTGAGTGAAAACTGCCCCAAAATAGTCAGCCATAACCTCTGCTTTTTCCTGATCTTCCTCTATCATTTCAGATTCACTTCCTACTTTAATTAGGTTGAGAATCCAGTGATGCATCCTTGTTCTGTAGTTTATGTACGAGAATATCCTCTTGGGCTGCTTGAGTGCAGATTCTGCCAGCTGCATTTCATATTTTCTTTGCGCTTCCCGAATTTTAGTTATACACTCGTTTCTTATCGATCTGTAGTGTTCCATCGTACCTGTTGTGCCAAGGCGGATGGCAACATCCCAGCATTTCTTCTTTTGTCTTAGTAAGCGTCGAATAACCCGCCCTAACCAGGGATGTCCGTGCTTCTTTTTCTTTGGGACAGTCCAGGGTATGTATGGTTGAGTTACCCGATTGTATAACTGCCTGAATAGAGTCCATGCCTCTTGTACTGATGCGTTTGAGTCAATTTGCCAGTTCTCAGCCGATGCTGCGGAGTTAATTGCCTGCATATCTGCCTTCCATATGTTTTATTAAGAGACGAGCTGCAGAAGCGGAAATAAACGAGCGTCACCGAAACGGTGAAAGAAACCTCGTTCTTAAGGGTTTTCAAATTGTATACGTTCGGAACAAAACGATACCCAAGCCACTCTGGGTGGCAAGGGAAAGCTCTCCACAGACTTAAAGGTATGCTACACAAATACTCGCAGCCTACTAAGTAAAATGGCGGAACTCAAGTCAGTGTTGGGTGAAGAAAAACCGGACGTAATTACTGTCTCGGAAACTTGGTTAACGTCAGAAGTATTAGATAGTGAAATCCAGTTGACTGGTTTTTTAACCAGTAGGGCTGATAGATTAAACCGAAGGGGAGGCGGGGTTATTGTGTACACGAAAAGCACCCTAACCATAAGATTAGCTGAGACAGTAGTACATGTTTCAGGGACATGTGAACTGTTGAGATGTAAGTTGAAATGCCGACGGCAAGATATTGAAGTAGTTGTAGTATATCACAGTCCAGACTGTGTAGCAGATGATTTTCTCCTAGGTAAACTTAAGTCCTGGTGTAACAACGGTAAAAGCCTTGTAGTAAGTGACTTTAATGCACCATATATAAACTGGGTTAACTTAGAAGTAGGGTCATCGATATTGTCGTTCGACTGCAAACTGTTAGAAACCTCGATTGGACTAGCATTATTCCAACACATTAGAGATCCCACAAGATACGACTTAAGAAACTCTTCTCTTTAAGACGTAGTCTTCACACACGGTGATGACGTTGGTCGAATGGATTTTCTCCCACCACTTGGGAGAATTGACCATGCAGTCATCTTATTCAAATTCATGGCTGAGATTGCTTGTCAAACAAACTTACTTGAATAAGCTTTTCTGAAATCACATGGTTTAAATATTCATTTGTCTAATGCCACAGTATATTATGCTTTTGAATGAGCAATCGCAATAGCACCTTCATTATTTTCTAATGTTAACTGTAACTCAGTGGATAGGATCATCTAATTGTTTGCTCAAATACTATTTATTATTTTGAAAGTTAGTGTTTTTGTAATTGTCTGAACTATAGAATAAATTATATTTTATCCTTTTCGTATTTTGAATGTTTCAGTGAAGTTTCTTTTGGGCATCCATTAGAATGCTATGATCTTTTGCGTACTCTGAAACCAGATGTAGCCGCACAATTGCATCCGAATAATGTGCGTAAAGTAAAGAAAGCACTTCTCGATGTTCTGAAAGGATCTATTCAGACTAAAACACAAACTGAATTGAATGAAAATATAGAAAATGTAGATTTGGGAAAACAAGTGTTAAATCGATCTATTAAACCTCGATATCCTGGAGAGTCGCTCATATTATGGCTGGACTGTGCTTCCGATGTTTTGAATACTCAGTTGAATAAGCGGGTGAATAGAATGTTGGATTCCGGGTTAGTTGATGAATTGGACACTTTTCTTGACAAGGTGAATGTTTTGCCAGATAGATTCAGTGAGACTGAAACATCTGATACGCCAGGTAAGAAAAAGTCTTTTGGACATGTTTTTATATTTGACTGCTAATGGTATGGATTATCCCGCTGCCGATATTTTGTTTGAAATTTGATCAATCTTAGTTGGCATATGTGAATTATGTGCAGATTGTCTCGATATAGCCAATATGACACAAATTTATCTAGGATATTCAAAAATAAAGAATATTTGAGTGAACAATTGTTTTCAAGAACTTGATCATCAGGCTCTGCAGTTGTAAATCCATAATTATAATATTGAATAAAGCCATTAATAATAATAATATTTTACAAGGGCCAAAGTAAGTCAAGGCATCCATTAATGAAGTTGAAAATGTTATATGTTAAAAATGGTGAACGTTTTCATCTGTCATGACATATTTAATTCAAAATTGTGTTACTTATAAACTAGAAAGGTCATTTAATAAAAATCAGAATGATTTGGTGTAAAGTAGCAAGTTATAATGAATATAATAGTAACATAATAAAGTAAAAAATCGTATAAATAAAATGCGTGGTATGAGAATTGCACCTCGTTAATAAAGGTAATAATAATAACAGTAATTATATCATTATGTGAATAGAATATGTAATAAGAAGTGTTTTATCTAGGTAATTACGGTAAAAAATAATTCATGTGAACCGGGAAAGATGGGTGTTCAGAATAAGAAAGATGTAAACACAGAAGGAATTGGGAGGGGATAAGAGGTTTATAATATTCAGTTTGGGTATCAAGTGATCCAGTCGTAGGCCAGGGTAAACATAGAGGCTGCATATACTCCTACTGGATACATAAGTTTGATTTTCTGGAGTTGATCCAGATGGTTTCAGTTATGTATAGTAGCCGTAATGTAGCTCCTTGAGTTAAATTTTTCGGAACTTGATGTTAAACAGAGAAGGCTTCATCTATTTTGATATGATGTTCACTATCTCCCAAGTGAGAAAGAATGGTACTGTTAGTCGACTTAGTGATTTGTTTTTCCGAACTACGCTGGTACATGTTCACGAACACGCAAGAATAAAGCCCTCTGAGTACGGCCTATGTAACTAGCTCCATATGGGCAGTTGAATTGGTATACACACATAGAGAAGCCCATCATCAGTAACTTACCCTTGATTTGTTGTGTAAGTACTGGTTTGGTTGGAAAAATTACGTGTAACTTGGAGGCGTGAATTGTCCTTTCAACAGATACCTATCTATTAATAGATAGATACACTGAAGAACACAACGAAATAACAGCTATCCACGGAATACAATGGACGGCAGCACTCCTACAACTGAACAACATATGGAACTCAAAACAACTGTTAATCAGTATCAAAGTGAGAATCTTCAATACGAACGTCAAGGCATTTCTACTGTGCAAAGCTGAAACGGAGAATTGCCACAACCATCGTCAAGCATGTACAAGTATTTATAAATAGTTGTCTACACAAGATACTAAATGTCCGGTGACCGGATACCATCAGCAATAGCCTACTACAGTAGAGAACAAAACAGTTTCTAGCTGAAGAGAAAATTAGGAAACATGCTGGGAGTGGATAGGACATACATTACAGAAACTATCAAACTGCATCTCGAGGTAATTGTTAACTTGAAATTTCGGACGGAAACGGAAAAGAAGAAGGCCGAAGAACACATTGCGTCGGGAATCGGAAGCAGACATAAAAAAGATGAATAACAACTAGGAAGGATTGTCCAGGATAGAGTTGAATGGAGGATGTTGGTGGGAGGTCTATGTCCCTCCACGGGAGGTAACAGGCGTGAGTAGGTAAGATAATCTTATCAGAAAATTCCTATCAGAAGGTATTAAAAAAGAATAAACTGTGACTCAGTCGGTAGAAAAACCCTTTATCTGGAACTGGGTGACATTTTAAGACGTCGACTCAAAAGATGTTATATATCCGTTAACCAAGTATATTTACCACTGTTATATTAGGTTTAGTTTTTTTTACAGTATTTCGCTTTTTTGAGCGTTTTTATTAAATAAAAACCATTACTATTTCGGAGATATTTTCTCAACTACTCTAAATAGATTACCATTGCCAGCTTTATTGATAAGTAATTAATGTGAAATGACTTAAGTAGGATTAGATTACGTTGAATGCTTTTGATCGAGAGCTAAATACTACACACTTTCGGGAGTGAGAGAGAGAGAGGGGGGGTGAAAGCTAGCATGAATTTAGTATGGGTTCAAACTTTTTGCTTCTGAATTATTGATGTAGTGTTGTACCGGCTAATCGACTAGAATAAGCTACTCTGAACCGCAAGTTTGCTTGAATTTTTTAATCTTTTGACTGAAAACGTTCGAACCTTAATATTGTCAAATTATGACCTTATGTGTCCTTAATAGCAAGGGTAATGCATGCATCAGGAGGTTTCTGATTAATGTTCAGTACAAAGTATCTGTATGCTATTTATTTATATATTTGTGCACATAAACATTGGTACAAGGGGGCACTAAGTACATATGCACCACAAAATAACAGTGAGGCTAGTAACAGCTTTCATTGGTTTGTGTGAGGGCTGTAATACTGCCCGATTGCCCAAACCGAAGCAGGTGGTTCTCTTAGGGGACCACACCCGGAGACTTCGATCTAAAGGTTTGATCCACAAAGCAGTGGAGTAACGTAAGGAGATGCAGTCGCGTGGTAGCTGGTGATCAACAATAGGTTCACACATCATTTGCTCCCTCAGGATCCTGGAGCCCATGTTCACGATCGGTTCGGAATCAGGGTTTTTCAACTCCCGTACATCGATCCTTCATATCCACCAACCCGGTTAAAGTACCGGACATTCGCTTTTCGTCCTCTCAATTTCGTAAACAACACCCCTGCGACGAGAAGACAGTGAGTAGGACTTCCTTGTCAGTGTCTGTATACACGTGGCCATGTTAGAGCATTTTGAGAGGGGGGCAGACTCTCCCCACCCTTGACCGTAACAGGGCATTTGGGGCATTTGTATGTTAGTGAAGTTTTAAGTACAACCCTAACACTTCTAACTGATTGTTTTCATCCATCGGCATTCGAGTGGAAGTCAGCACAACACTTCTTCAATCTAATGAAATTCTTCACGAGTAAGTGCTTTGGGATGCTGTGTAGAACGACAATGAAAGCTCCTCCTCTTCTAGTTTGGAGAAGACGGCGTTTTTAAAAGCATCAACTTAAGCTGCAAATCTCTATGATTTCAGAATTATTGAATAGTTAGTTGATCTTTTATACAGCCAGTTTAAGTAGAACTGAAATGTTTTCCTATTCAACAGAAGAGATGCATATAAATATGTAATTTCTAATCTTATAACTTCTGGCTAGTTGCCTCACACCATAAGTTTTGAACTTATCTATTGCCAGGCTATATAGTTCATCTTTTTGGTTATTCCGACTTGTAGTAATATACCGGACTAGCTATCTATTGTCACGATCAATGAAATGAATACATAGGTAACTCCGAACTGTTAAGTCATCACAAATTAGGCTAAGATTAAAAGTTTATATAGGTCAGTCCCGGTTAATCAACTTACTACATAATCAAACTTAACAAGGCGGCCTGCTTGAGCATCTGGGCTACCTGTTCCTGCCATCTAGATATTTCGACAAGTTATCTATCTTTGTTTGTTTTAATATATCATTATGTCTATTAATCGCACAACCTATTCTGCTGCGTTTCTGAAAAGTGTACAACCTTTCGTTGTCAAAGTTACAAAAAGCTCAAAAAGAGAGAATATTGTTGCTGGCAATATACAACGAAAAGAATGTACATTATTCAGATATTCATTTACTGAACTGTTAACATCTAGCTGGCGATCACTCAGTATTTATCGCGAGGACCGACCAAGAAGAAAGAAACGGAAACTTGTTGAAATACTTTGTGCTGAGAATTCTATATTGTACCAATAATATAATATTGAATAAAGCTAATAATAATAATAATAATAATAATAATAATAATAATCAAAACTGATGTGATGATCGATATATATTCATGTGCTGGTAAACACGGGTAAATGAGTAGTATTGAAGCTGCGTACAATCATTATGGCTATTGCGAACCCTACCACTTTCGGTTTTAAACATCTTTCTGCTTATAATTCTTCATTTCATTTCGCTAAATTCAGACATTGCAAAACGAACTCGAGTGGAAAAATTAAGGGCATTGTTTGCTCAAGAGTTGGAGTCAGTCTCAGATCCTATGACTCGTCGTGGCCTACTTCAAAGTATCGGACTCAAAGAATTTTCAGATTATTTAGCTTTATTACCAGAAGAACGTGACACTATTGAGGCAAATACTCTTCTGAAGCAAGCAACAGAGAATGTTAAAACAGCCACTCGACAGTATGCACGTCGTCAGGTGATTATATTTGTTTTTTGTTGGTATTTCTCTGTTGAAGCGTTATAGCTAATCGTGTTTGCATTGTTGACTTGGTTGGTTTTAATTTTTATAAACTCAGTAGTCTGTTCATAGTTTGAACCAAGTTTATGTCAATTAGTAATTTTCGTAGATGCCTTTGTGGCTTTAATTCTTTTATTATTTTTTGTTCACCTACAATACTACTTTACAAAATTTAGTACACTGTATATTTAGTGTGCAAAATTTAGCATAGTTATACAATAAATCAAAGTGAACTGAAAAATAAATATCACTCACTAATCATTTACAGAATTCCATATTTTACTGACTTACCTTAACATACAGATTTTGTAATATTTGTATAATTATTGCATCATTTCAATGTACATAGCTTCCTTAATCATCTTGATGAGAACAAGAATGAAGATGTTTGAACAGATTAACATGAATCCGTTATTTCGTTAGGTTCTCTTTATCTTTTTACAACATGTATTATTAAAAAATTCTAATTACAAAACAAGTCGAAAATTACTAAAACGTTATCTATACATTTAAATTACTTAATTCTTTAAACTAGCTTATATGGTAGATAAACTGTAGAATTTTAATCCTTAATGATTTGTTTGTTTTAAAATTATTTCACTGGGATTGGCCTCCACACATACGTGCTTATAAACAAACATATTTTACTGCATCTACATATCTGGCCACATATTTATTCCAATTAATTACTGAATCATTGTATCCTTCCACATACTTCTACATACTTAGCTGACAGCAGCTCGTTCATTTCCACATCTGTTTGGATGGTAATTATTAAATCATTCATTCTACCCTATCTGTGTGTTTTTTCCTGGTTATTGGAGTTGTGCGTTGGAAAGGAATTATTGTAACTACTTCATAATAAGGACTGTACGGTCAGTTTGTATATGAAGCACTAAGATTAACGAGCAGCTATCCGTTACAAAATACACAAATAAATTTAATTGAAATTTTTAAGTATGTATAAGCGTATCATCGTAAGGATGTGAGACTAAATAAAAATATTGTAAATATATATCTTCTATAGTAGAGCATTCTACAACAACGATAGTAACAAAAGATCAAAGAGCTGTTCATAAGTACTTACGTAATGAGGAAACACTAATAATTAGTAAACATGAAATGAGTAAAGCTCAGTTATCCATTAACGTAAGTAACCCATGGTGTCATTAAAAAGACAGTTCAACAAAGAAGGTTTTCTTTTCTACAATATCATTTACTCAAACTGTACAATTGTATTTATAGTTAATTAGTGAATAAAGTAGTTTAGCAAAGAATAAAATGATTACCTAATCTTGGTTGTCAAAGTTTCATGACGATCAAGAATTTAGATAAGGATGAAAAGTAATTATCCACTTGACGAGTATGAAAAAGATGTAAAATAAATTAAAAGTATGAAGGCGATAAAAATTATTAATTTGAAAAACTAAAAACATTAAAAAGATGTATTAATAAGCAATTTTCCGTTTATAAAAACTTAGGTGTCCATACCATGTAAAAATGATGGTTCTGAATATCAACAACATTCTGAATAATAATAATGAAAACGTAATGTACATTGAACAAGTCATTAGCTATTTATACTCAGTAGCACAGTGGATAGTGCGTTGGTGTTTGGAGCAAAAGGCAATAGGTTCGAGTCTCAGCGTGAACACCATCAGTATGATATAGATATATCCAGCTGACGAAACGAAAGTAGAACAAAACGTGCTTCCTGACTTCTACTGTTAGTTAGGATCCATCCATTCTATAAGACGACTTTTATACCATGAATTAAGAATGGTTGTCTGAAATTTCTGTGAACTAAAAGTTATTTTAATCCATATTTTCTTTTATTACGTTGTGGTTACGCATAGAATTTCAAGCAAGGAGTCAAAATAAACTGTCTAGTATTTTTATGGTATATCTAACTTAAAATTTATGATATACACTTCACGAATGTTTAGTTGCTATTTTTACTGACGTGTATTATCAATTAGTGTAAGGTAAAAATCATAATAATGTGCTTTAAACAATTTGTCTATTCATTAAGTCTATAGGGGGGCACATACAAAGGTGGAAATTACTGGAGTTTAAATGATTTAAAATCGTATTGTGAAGAAGTAATCACATCACCGACTATCCATTTATTGAAATAATAAAAATGAGTGTTTTGTTGATTGTTTCTAACTATCCGTTATCTGATACGGTATATTTCAAGATTAACCCGTTTCGATTGGTAACCGTAAACGACTGGTGTAGTCTATCTTTTTCCAAGTTTAGCACGTTTTATTACTTCATGTTTACCTGTAATATTTTTTTTATTTTTAGTAATTTTATTTCCTTGGTAGATTCCTCTGTGTACTGTAAAAATATGCATCAATTTACTACGTATATTAGGTTCTATTTTCTGCTTACTAGTTTTTGATAGAAAATTTAATATTGCTTAAATATGAAGTATGATATTCTGTTCTTAATGTTTATTTTTATCAGGTTTCTTGGATTAGAAATCGATTTTTACGACGTCCTGTAGAAGGTAGCATTCCTGTTTATCGTATAGATGTGACAGATTTTTTAAACTCTGAATCTCCAGATATTTGGAATAAGACAATTATTGCACCAACTGTACGCTTAGTCTACAATGAATTAATAAAAATAAATGATTTACTCTTTGAAAACTTGAAAAACAATGATTATCTAAAAAGTTTACTTGATATTTGTCCTGAAAATTCTTGTCCTAAAGCAGAATCATTACTTTTGCCTAAATCTTTTAATGAATCAAACAATAACAACAATTCTCCATTCATTTGTTCAATATGTTCAAATAGAATATTTACACAAATCGATGGTTGGGAAGCTCATTTAAAAAGTAGATCACATCAGAAACGTGCAGCAAAATATAAGAAAAGATTACTTATCGAGAAAGCAATGAAAAATTTATCATCATAATATTTTGTTAAATAGATAATGTTTTGTATAAAAGTTGTTTTTTTCCTCAATAAAATATATTACATTCATATTCGTACTGAATATTTAAATGGTTATACAGTTTGTGGAATTTATCTTATATTATTATAATGGTTTGTGAATCCAAAATGATAGTATAGTTGACCTTCAGAATTATGATAATCAGTTAATTAGTAAATAATATAACTCAGTAAATACTTCAAATTTCAACCGTTTGATTTGAATTCCATATAAAAGTGCTACAGCACTTGCATCATGAATTAGATTCACTTGTAAGAATTTGTTTTATTGTCTTACTTACACCTCTGACTGTCAGGGAATCATAACTCTTTGTCAATTGAAATTTCTTAAATTACAGTGAATATTTACCGTATCGTATTTATTGAATGAAAACTTTGTTGATATTATCTGTTGTAGTGATATATTTTTCATTTTGAGTTTTTGGGAAAAATGTTTTAACTTAGATTTGCTAATAGGTTTTTGGATTTTAAAGTGCTCTAGTTCGACGTTTATGTTGAAATAATACATAAGTTAATAAGTAGTCGAAAGAGTCAAGGGTTTCCTATCGACTCGTATCAACCATCTAACATCAAAACATAGTGCACATTATGTCGAGTCATTTAGACTAGTCGGTCACATTGTAACTTGGTCGATAGGATTCGGTCAGCACAATAGAACCAGACCAATGTAACATTGGTCACTGCTCAGTGATCGATCAGTTGTGAGTGTGTTCAGTGTAATTACAACCCAGTATATCACGTAGGGTACGTTTTGTGGTTTGATTATTCATTTGACTCTCATAATAGACCTAACCCTGTGGATCTAACTCATATTGTACGAGGGATTTATTTCACGACTTATTCAATCACCTATTTAGGGTTCAATTGCACAGAGCATCAAACAAAGCTCACTAGCATGAGTCGCTACACTTCTCGACAGTGTAAAGACAGAAACTCAAGAAAATCAGCGAAATGTTAAAATGGACAAAATGAAAATATACGTACATAGACATATATAGCATAAAGTTGCTCAATGTTTGGAAAAGGAGTATGTTGGGTGCATCTACACTAATACCCTCCAATTTCAACTTTTTATACGATCTCATGACTCAAATTCTCAAGTAGAAATTTGCATTTTGATCGCAGCTCAAACCTGCATCTACAGACATCGTAGATTCGCCTGTTCAAGCTACTCTTTAGAACTTTTTCAGATCACTTTAATCAACGTTATACGTCAGAGTTTTAGTTTTTTAGGTATGAGTAAACTACGACAAATCACATAAATGTTTAGGGGACGCACTTAATACGCCAAAAGTGCTTGTTATTAGCTATGCTAAGCAACTTATTTTCAATTAATATTAGGATATACTATAGCTTGGAATCCCTAACTATCAAAATGCGTTGCTGTAAGTGTTAAAGCAGTCGATCATCAACCACTAAGCTATAGGTTCAAACCCCATCTGCCTATTTCTGACTGGGCAGCTAAACGAGTATTACATTAGCCCTCACAAATAAAGAGTACGTCAAGGCTGGGCTCAAGGACCAGTTACTGTTTTGCATAATAGGATTAGTAGCTATATGTGGAGTTGCACTGATATTTTATTATTACTTCAGTATCGGGAATTAAATTATCAATTGCCACAAAAGTTTTCATCATCCTTTTAATCACAACGAATTGCTTCAGAAGTTCTTCACGATTGCTTGTGCCTAATCGGAGGTTTTCGTTCTTCGATTACCGTTTCGACGAACATGTTTGATTTACCTTGATACTATGACACGTTTTAAATGTTCTGTAGTATAGAAAAATTCACGATTTTAAGTGAGAAATCACACCATATAGAGAATCATGTGTATAATGTTTACATCCAATTTGTAAGGGTTTGGATTTGCTTGTTCTTGATATTAAGGACTGTGAATGATCACCTTTAAAGTATGTGGACCCTGATAAGGTTTCCCTGATATTACCACTAATTTACGAGGATTTCCGAACGAAGTTCTGATGGTGGCTAGCGACGGGATCCAGGACGTGTTTCGTCGTATCTGAGACTCGTCAGCCGGATACACCGGCTTTTCACTGTTGACGTCCACGTAAATAATCGATCCCGATGCATTTGGCTTCAAACACAAACGCGTTATCCACCGAGCTATTGAACTCAGATAGCCACTGGCTTGATTAATGGGATGTACTTTGTTCGCATGAGTTTGGGTTTGTAATAATAATAATACGTTGTTGATGAAATGTACATCCTGGATTTCACTACCATCTATTACAAAACCTTAGCTCACTTGTTCATCGATATCATGAAAGCAAATCAAAACAAAAGTGGACATTCTTTAGTCACTGCTCAAGAATAAATACTGAAGTTTTTTTATTATTATGTGGGTAAATAAACTAGTTCACCATGTACTTCATCTTGGGCCTTATTTAGATGTAAGAGCTAATGATACTACGTGATCGCCCAACAAAGTCATGCAGTTGTTTCGTTTCAAAGCATGCGGTATCGATTGCTTCTTATTATACCATACCTAGATACTACACTTTAATACATATGGTTGTAAGCAGCTGATGAGAAACCACAAAATATCATGAATTCATATTATTCCGCCTCATTTATTGTTCTGGCTTCCTTCAATTTCGTAAAGGAAACCAATTGTATGAAATTCTCGTAGATGACCAGTCAAGTATCTGTGATGATTCTGTTTACTAGTCTAATCTTAGCCCGTATCTGTGGTTAGAAGCATTTTATTGACAATAGTTTCATATTATAAAATTCTTATCGATAGTTAATGGTCTTATAGTCATGAATAAAACTTTCTCAAATTTTATTTCCATTTTACTCTCTTAGTACTATTATACAATGAAATGAATAGTCATTTAAATCAAGCAGTTTAGACTACATTGTAAGTGAATTTGTTACTGCACAATTTCCCATTATTTATTTTTAAAAAAAATTGTTTCTAATGATACCTTGCTAAATTCCAAGGACATAATTATTAGTTAATTATTCCGTTTCAAAATATGAGTTTTACTTGTATTAACAACTAGGTGATAAGTGTTCTACAGTGTTCTTTTTATTTTTAATTTTTAGCCTTCTCGTCAAGTCTACTTTTTCTAGTGTTAAATAATTTAACCAAAAGATTGGTTCAATATTGTTATTTGTGCAAGAATATTAATATAAATGTCTATATTTAAAAGGTATATCATTAAAACTGTAGTGGCTATTGTAAAGAAGTATACAAAATTAGTGACATATTTGGAAAACAAATGGGAAGGTAAACATGCTTCATCATTTCATAATTATAAATTATTTAAAAGTGGTAAGTTTTAGATAAATTTCTCGTGTTTGTATTAAAATAATTTATGGTTTTTATTTCTAGTTGATGATAATTCTACTGGCTATTTGATAAGTTTAATCTATTAGCTGAATCTATTGTGACAATTTTGTTGATTTTTTTATTTTTTAAATTACACAAAACCTTCAACAAAGCCTATACTGACTCTGAAAACTAAGGAAAAGATAACAATGATCAGCCGATCCATGTATAGTAGTTAATATTTGTTTTTAAATTAGGATATCTCAATGAATTCTTTTTCATTAAATGGTGATACAGTTAGTCAAGGAAGAAATACGTTTATTTAGTTTATTAACTTATTTAATAGATTAATCTATCTAGTGGTCAGTGTTATTATTCTGATTGAATATTGTACGTAATAGGTATTACTTTTAGTAAAAAAAGAACCTACGATTAATTCATTTGAAATACTGTAGTAGCTGTTAAGTTATTGTCTGTAAGTTTTGTACGTGTCTACCTATATATGTAAATAAGACACATTTAGATTATCAGAATGGGTTTTGTGGAGATATTTTAGAAATCTCACTGGTTGAAATCATGAGTCAATTGAAGCTAGACCACCATGGAAAACCTGGAAGCACGACGGCCGTTTCGTCCTAGCATGGGAATCCTTAGCAGTGCGCATCCACGATCCCGCCCCCCGCCAGACTCGAACCCAGGACCTAAGACGAAACGGTCGTCGTGCTTCCAGGTTTTCCATGGTGATCTAGGTTAAATTGACTCACGATTTCAACCAGTGACATTTAGATTATTAAATAAAAACACTAAATAGATTAGTTCAACATAAAGATCAATAAAGACAATTCTTTATCAACATTTACTACTGTTAGTTTCACTTAAAATGTGTTTACTCTATTTTGTATCATACTGTAAATAAGCTTATTATATGATACTCAATCAAGCAGTAACTTCAGAGATTTATTGATATATGTAATTTTATTAGAACGTAAGATAGTTAAAGTTAAGCTAGAGGAAGACTGTAATGAAGGTTTATCTCAAATTGTTTGATTGCCTATATGCGCAGCAACAATGACCTCGATCAACTTTGATGATAGAAATATGATTTAATCATGACTATTTTATAGATATTCTAGATAAAATATGGGGAGGGAGGGGTTAAATTAGCTTAAAACTATTGCGGGTTTTATTGAAAAAATAATGCTATTTTGTAATATCTAGATAAGTAGAGAATTGGATTTCAGACTTTTTATCAATTCATCATTTAAAAAGCTTAATACATATAAGGGCAGAGTTTCTGATGCAAATCTAAATTATTACAATTGAGCATTCATTTTTATTTAATAGAATGATCACAGTTTAGTGTAACTTTTTTAAAAATTATATACAGAAAATATGCATCAATTAATCTCTTATATTTGAATATTTTTACAGGTGTCCACTCGACGTTGATAGATTTGGGTGACCTCAGTCAGTTATGGATAGATATTACTTGTCGTTCTCAGTCAATCATAGAAATCCTACCGACTCTTAGTAGACATCAGGTGTATGTCCTACGTCAGGTATAATTTGTTTTATTTTCTAGCTTTATTCTATACAATTGGCTTAATAATGTTCACTCTTCGTAGAGCTTAGTGAATTATGTAGGTTTTCTTACAATTGTATGGTAGCTTCAGTGAAATTCAGGTTACACTTTTCTTTCTATTAATAAAAATTTGTGGCTATATAGCAGTAACGAGGCAATCCGTCAAGTACGCATATATAAATATACTAACTGAGTCATTGCAGTCCTTAACGTCAACAACGGGAAAACACAAACTTTTACGAATAAAATCCTGTGTTTTTGCTTAATATTTCCTTTAAATCTACAGGTTTTATTTTATTGTAACTATGACAAACTGGACATTACTTTGAGTCTCTTGTTTTTACCCTTGTAGTGGTGAAAATGGAGGTTATCATTTTCAATTGTAATCGATCAAATAACATTTTAATTAGTATCAAAATGTATGTAGAATAAATCTCCTTTTGCTACTTTGCTCCTTTTGTTGCGCTCCTTTTGTTATAGGTGCCTAAAGATTTGGTGAGGATTTTGCCTGTAATGCTTCTTGCTCCATTACCAGGAACAATACTAATTTTACCAATCTTGTAAGTAATAACTATAAAAATACAATAATATTATAGTGACTTAAAGTGATTCCAGGTTTTAGAATAATAATTGAGATTATATTCATGATAAAGAATTATTTACTGTTATTTATACTATTCTTTGATTCGGCTCTACTTTTCTTATCGTTACATATATATATGTATATATATGTTTTAATGTAAACATTCACTTGATTATTCATGGAAATTGCAAGATCATAGCTCACTATGAATCAATCTCAATAGGGAAAGAAATTAAACATTCATGATATCAGGTAGAATAACAATTTAATAATTGATTAACTGTAATTTATTAGCGGCAAAATATATCATGAATTATATGAAACTTTACAATTGACATAAAATGATATTACCATGAATTACTTGTTTAATGAATAAAAACTAATTATACCAAGAATAACTATATAAGTTCATTTGGTGTTGTTTTACTTGTATTCTTCCCATTGTTATTCAGGACTGCAATTGACCAGTCTCATGTTAGCATATGTGCATCCTATGTGGATTGCCTCGATATAGCTTTAAGCTACAAGCCTTCTAAGCAAAGATGGATAGTGGCTAGCAGTGGAATCCAGGACGCGCGTTTCGTCCCAAAACTATATGTTTTATAATTTTCTTTCTACCCTTATTCTTAACAGTTTATAATCTTTAAAAGGGAAATGTGTTTGATTCTTCTATGAATCATTCCGATGTATTTATTTCTAAAAGTATGTGTGAACTTGTAGTTTCAATGGAAAGTAACTTCAAAAAGATATTTATCTAATTTCGATTTTACTAATAATCATTTAGTTTGTGCTTCTGAAATAAGTTTAGTTCAAGGAAAAGTCCCACTCACTGCTGTTATAATTCATTCGTTAATTCCTAAAATCTTACAAATACTTGAATAGTAGAAATGTAAGTATAAGTTGGAGGTTTAGGATTTTTCAGTAACTTCATTTCTAGGTGTATTCATTTGTCCTAAAACTTTACAATAAATGTCCACACCCTTTTTTGTTTAGTTATTTAAAGACAATATGCTCGTGCTAACCAAACATTTGGTAGTACAAAAACTGTTTTTTTTCTAAAATCTAATTATGTCAAATAACATAGATCTTAGTAGTGAATCCAGAGTTACTCCATTTTTTTTTGTTCATTGGATTGGAATCAAACACTTTTATTTGTAAGGAAGCAATCATTAATAGTGCAAAGCATCAATAGGAATCGTTAGCAAACTATTTCAGTAGTTTCTTCTTTTTTGTTGTTATTAAAATTAGTAATTAATAATTTTTGATATAACATACTTGATATTCACTAACTTGTAACCTCTCACTCTAATTTTTTTCTTTATAGTTTTGCTTTTCCTCGTATTTTTCTGTCACGAGCATTTTGGACACCAGAACAATGTAAATCTATCGATGCAAAATGTTTGAAAGACCGATTTGACTATAATACTCAATCTTTATTAAAGTCTAAGCTCTTGACAATAATTTATTCGTCCCCATGTTCTATGAATTATTCTCAACCTATTTTGAAGTCTTTAAGAAAGTTAGCTAGTGCGTTAAGTCAGGTTAGTTTGTTAGTTTCAAGTATATAGATTTACGTTAATTTTTTGATGAACTCTAACATATGAGTGTTGTTTTAAGTTTTTTAAAAGAAAAAATCTGTTTTTACACATACACTGGTGAATTATTTATTCATGTAACGTTTGTAACAATGTTTTTATTATATCAGAATGGAAAAAACATTTTCTAGTCTTCGTTTTGAAGATAATCCTCATCCATTGTGAAATCACTGAAAATCAGGAAGCTTACTTACTTACTTACTTACTTACGCCTGTTACTCCTCGTGAAGGAGCATAGGCCGCTCACCAGCATTCTCCATCCAACCCTGTCCTGGGCAATCCTTTCCAGCTCTTTCCAGTTGTAATTCATCCTTTTCATATCTGCTTCTATTATCCGACGTAATGCGTTCTTTGGCCTTCCTCTTTTCCGCTTCCCTTCAGGATTCCAAGTTAGGGCTTGTCTCGTGATACAGTTTGACGATTTGCGTAATGTATGTCCTATCCATTTCCATCGTCTTCTCCTAATTTCCTCTTCAGCTGGAAGTTGGTTTGTTCTCTCCCACAGGCTATTGCTGATGGTATCTGGCCAATGGATGTTGAGTATCTTGCGTAGACAGCTATTTATAAATACTTGTACTTTCTTGATTGTGGTTGTTGTAGTTCTCCAAGTTTCAGCTCCATACAGTAGAACTGCCTTGACGTTCGTATTGAAGATTCTCACTTTGATATTGGTTGAAAGTTGTTTTGAATTCCATATGTTCTTCAATTGTAGGGATGCTATACTTGCTTTGCCAATCCTCGCCTTTACGTCTGCATCTGAACCTCCTTGTCCATCGACGATGCTTCCCAGGTATGTGAAGGATTCTACGTCTTCCAGAGTTTCGCCATCAAGAGTGATTGGATTGCTGTTTTCCGCTTTGAATTTGAGGACCTTGGTTTTCCCTTTGTGTATACTGAGGCCTACTGATGCAGAGACTGCTGCTACACTGGCTGTCTTCATCTGCATCTGTTCGTGTGTACGTGATAGGAGGGCTAGGTCATCTGCGAAGTCCAGATCGTCTAATTGGTTCTGAGCTGTCCATTGTATTCCGTGTTTTCCTTCAGATGTCGAGGTCTTCATAACTCCGCCTGTAGCTCTTCTAGAGTTACTGCCGGTCCCAAGCCCGGGTAAAGGAGGAGGGTTGGGCATGGGGTTAGCGTCCCCATCCCGTAGAAAACTAACTCGCTAAAAAAACGCTTACCAAAATCAGGAAGCGTTGAACAGCTATTCTATTGTCGTTCCATATTTGTCATCAATACGCAGCCGGGACCTTGAATATAATCGAACTTGCGATTGTGTAGTTTCATGGAGAGCTCAAGATTTACATTTCCAACCTTAGTCAATCCTCGTCCAAGTATTCGTTTTTGTATGAAATATGATCCGACTTTTTTTCGCACTTTGTATACTATCATCATCTAAGCGTATCTTGAACATTAACCATGCATATGCTCCTTCGGAAATTAGAATGTTGTTGGGATATCCCCAAACTCATAATTTTAAATTTTATCTTATCGATCAAATGTTAGATATTTTTATTGGGGTCAATTGATGAACTATCGATTAAATGCGCAAATAGGTCAATTAATGAACTCATTGATTAGTGTTTAAAAATTTTCTATGACAATATCGATTGTAAATAATTGTATAAATACGCTTGACTTGTATGCTTGATCTGATCTGCCTGCCTGACTTGTTATCTGCTGTTTGTCTGTAGAATACACTTTCTACACCTTGTTCAGACTTGTTGGTCGAGTTAGCAGAGTCGGGGACAACGAACCAGAATAGCTATCGAGTTGCTGAATCATTGATCCTTCGTTTCGTTCGAGTAAGACGCATCAGTAATCGCATTCAAGCAATAACGAAATATAACAAATGTATACCATACGATTAGCACTTTACTGGATTCGATTTTGAGTTCATTGTTTTATATTCACAGATAGATCCTAAATATTTTGTATAGATCATATGGTGGTTGACTACCTCCAACCACCATCTCAGTGTAAATATATTTATATAGATATTTTGAAACTTTCATCTTTAAATCCCGTCAAATTCAATCAGGTCAGATGTACTCTCTCTGTGTCAACGGGCTAGTTAGTGTGAAGTTGTACTCTCGTTGTCGGTTCATTTTGTGTTGATTAAATAGTTTCGGTTTTTCTTGAGTTTATGTGGATGCAAAAAAAACCAACTAATGTATGTTTAATCTTAATAAGGAAAATGTTTGTCTAATTAGTATAACTTAGTTACTAAATTGATGTGGAATAGATGGAATGTGGCTAGCAGAGTGGGACCCAGTGACTATTTAGACTCGGTAACTTAGTGAATAACGCGATGTGGTTTGAAGCGAATGGTAATGGGTTCGAGTCATGGAGTGTACATCAACTCTGGTATGAAGGTCCATTCAGTTGGTGGGCACCAAACAAGACTGAACGCGTGTCCTGGATTCCACTGCTAGCTACATTCCATCTTTTCTTTAGCAACTTGTGTCATCCTGGATATATCGAGGCAATCGCCACAGGTTTGTTTAAGTATCAAATTGACATTCATGAGCTCTATTTTAAGTCAAATTTTTGTTAGTCAAATCAAAGTAGAATAAAAAGCATATATTATAAGTCATAATCCGTTGAGATTTATAATAAAGTTTACAGTTTATCCGGAAACATTTAAAACTGCATGGAGTCAATTTAATTGTAAAGTAATAACTTACTATTTGAACGTCATCGATTGAACATTATTTGTATCATAGGATTACTTACTTACCTACTCATTCCAGTTACCCCTGGTAGAGGAGCATAGGTCGTCCACCAACATTCTCCATCAAACTCTATCTTGAACAATCCTTTCCAGTAGCTGTTCCTTCGTTTTGACGTCTGCTTTCAATTCTCGGTTTGTGTTTTTTTTAAAATTGCAAACTATGTTGTTACTTATCATATATCGTGTTTTATGTATTTTCACTTATGAAGCTAATTACTTCTCAGATATTTCATTTTCAGGTTTTTGAATAATGTTAACTGTAACAGCATAGCGAGAACAGCAAACTGAATGCTTATTTTATTATAGTAACAAATATTATTTGATTGAATAAACTGACTGATTAAATTCGCACGCGAGACCGAAGGTACTGGGTTCGAGACTCGCGTGCGGGATCGTGGATGCGCACTACTGAAGAGTCACATACTAGAACGAAATGGTCGTCCAATGCTTCCAGGTTTTTTATGGTGGTCTACCTTAAGTCAACTCATGAACTCAACTATTTGCGTAAATTTTAGCCTAATTTCCTCAGCATAGCTTATCTTCTCAGTCAATACATTCTACTCTAAAAATGAACCAGGAATATTGTATGTGTGTGCATGTGTTTATTGTAATCATATCAACTCATTATGCGTGTTTATACTGGTGAATATTTACTCAACTAGGATTAATTTAGATATCGTTTTTTTACTATACGGTAACTGTGAAGTTTGATAAGTTTGTGACTTGCAGACTGTTAACCTTTATCAAGTGACGGACTATCAATAATATCTTATAGGTGTCTATGCAACGACTTATAACTTATCTTAGTGTGCGGTTATGCAACGAATATATACATGATATCTCGTTATCAGAGCTGGGATAAACAAGATCGCTTGCAAATGTTCTAAGCTTGAGTTCGTTAATTCGCAGACAACTGTTTCCTTGCAGTAATATAAAATATAATTACATAAGACAATATACTATGGTGTTATATTTCACATCTTTTGTGAAAAACTGAGTTAATAGGTTTTTTTGTAATTTTATGATACTCATATTCTGTCACCTATATAACAAGATATCTTGTTAACTCTTCAATATATAATAGTTGAATATCAATACATCATCGATCGAAAACATGATACTAATTGAATAATGTTGCATTGTGTAAAATGGAATATTTATTCATTACGTTTTCATTGTCTTTCTGAACAATATGACTACCATAAAGGAAGTGAGCTGCTAGGATTTTTCAAATGTCTTTAACAGCTTGTTCCATTGATATGAGGTTTTGTTTGTTAACAATAATTGTACTCTCACTGCATATATCTATTTCGATAATATCTCTTATCTTGCAGTTATCTATCATTTTCTAGGAGGCTGATAGATTGGGCTTATTCTGACATTCTATTGCTTTCTAAATAAGCTGTTTTTCAAGCTTCAAAAATTCACAATTCTTTCACATATTGCCTCTTTGAGATTCTAACATTTTCGTAGTTCAACTCCTAACCAGATTGATTAAATTAAGCGAAAACGTTACAGCGTTTGGTGTCTTCGTTAGACTGAGACGAATAGGATTATCATTTTGTCCACTGTATTGTTCCTCGTAGATAATAAAAAAATTGTTGTGTCTATACTAATTTTTTCCTAAAAGATAAAGAGCACTATAGACAAATCTTTTTTTTCTACAAATTCCGTATCCGGTAAACAGATGATTTATACTTGTGTAAGAATTTTACTGGTCTAGAACATATTGTTGGAAGTTTGTTGTCATTATTTTCACCGTATTATAACGCAACACACACTCGAAATACAACCACTTAAACGAGGTTACAGTTGTGTCTTAGATTGGTATGATAAACCGATTGGCTTCATCTTTGTTGCCTTCTTGATGTTCGTCTGGCTGTAAAAGGTCTAATCTATAGTCTATCGGTGAGAGCAGTTCTGCTCTAGGCTTATGAAACCTGGGTTTTCCGAGTTGTGGACGTTAGGTAACTCTGTGTTTCATCATCATCGTCTCCGAAGGACTGCCGACATCTAGTAGAAACACCATGTTAGTAATGCGGAGGTTCGGACACAGTGACGATAATCCAATTAGTACCACTATTTTGGAACACTGACTTTGATGTCTTGGATATGTATTACAAGTGTTGTCCCGGCAAATTCCACGGTGTGCCGACGGTGGGACTGGTTGGAAAAAGCGGAGAGGTAGTCAGTGTATGACACGGTGTAGTGGTATGACAGGAAGCTGTACAGGACTGGCTTCTGATGGTCTTTTACGACATTCCCTTTGGGGTCCTCTCGACAGTGCAACACGCTGGCTTGAGACTATTGGATATGGCTTAGAATACAAACCAATGGCGATCCCACTGTAGCTTTCTGTTTCCTTTTTCGTAAAAATGGAGGTTACTTCTTTTCTGGTTGTATTTTAATTCAAGTGATTCTCCCATTATTATCATTATTATATCTACTATTATATTTTATTATTACTTCACGCTTATACACTAATTTCTACTCATTTTTGTTCTTTTTTATTATACTCACTGTCCTTTCCCTATCTTTTCACAACCTCATTTTTATTGTGTGGGGCATATATATTTGGTGTCCACTTAAACCAATGTTTATATGCTGAAGTAAATAAATAAATATCTGCATACATTTGAATGCCTGAATTAAATTCTCCCAGTTCGTTTCATATTTGCCTTTTATTGCCATCAGTCACAATGAGATTAGCTTAAGTATGACACATGAAATTGTTCGAGAAATTGTATCTAATCATTGTTATCATAAATGGTGCCAACCCGATTCCTCAATTATTTATATTTAGAGTACAAAGTAAATATTTTAATTTGTCAGTCGATAACTGTTCTAGATCTTTTCATGAAATATTTTGTTTTCGCTCTATCAGAATTTTAAGTTTTTTTCTAAATGTAATTTCAGTGGTTGAGATCATGAGTCAAATGAAACTAGACTACCGTGGAAAACCTGGAAGCATTGGATGACCCTTTCGTCCTAGTATAAAACTCCTAAACAATGTGTATCTACGATCCCGCCACACGAGATTCGAACCTAAGATCTATCGGTCACGCATGCAAGCGCTTAACCTCTAGACCAGGTTTTCCATGGTGGTCTATTTTCAATTGACTCATAATCTCAATCATTGAAATTACTATAAACCTCTCTAATTATGTCATTTAATACATTATTTATCATGCATTAATAATTGATTGTATCAATTGACTAAATTACATAAGAATAAGTTATGTATAAATAATTAAAAAAACTTTGAAACTATATAGTTGAGTACATTTTCACCTTGATATAAATTGATGAGTTTTGTCTGAAACTCACTTATATTGTTTCCTTATTTATTTATTTACCTAAAAAAGTTATGATTTAACTAACTGAATGGAAGAATGAATCCAACTAAACGGATTGATATTTGCATTCTCACAATTTAACTAATGAATTTTATTTGGTGTATTTAGTTATGTTTTCTTTTGTATAGTGAAAGCTCATATTCCTTCAGACTGGGTTTTATATTCACATTTTATAGTTTAGTTTTTAGTCAGTTGTAAACGATATATATATATATATATATATATATATATATATATATATATATATATATATATATAGCAGTAGCAGTAAGAAAGATTATATGTAGACAACATGATTCAAAAACAAAGAATGAATACATGGAATAAAAAGTATCATTATCTTGAGATTATGTCGTTCAAACCGATTCCGAGAGATGTCATCCAACATCTCCAACTATTAGTAACAATGATAGCCTAGACCTTGACTGACTGGTCATTGTCTGCCTATGTAACAAACTAACATTTAATGACTTTATAAACTTATTACAATTTAGTTTGACCGCTCCAAACGTTCTGCCAACCTTCTCATACCCTACACCAGTAGGCAGTAATTTGGCATACATAATTCATCCCTTAACCACTTCATTAGATAAAGATTTATTGTGTCACCAATAAATTTGACATTTTTGCATAGTATACTTCTTTCCACTGCAGTCTTGATCACATACACGAGCGATGCTTCAAAGGGGCCTATGATTAAATAGTAGTAACCTTATTTATTTTAACACATAAATATTGGCACAAAAGGACACCAAATACATATGCGCCACACAAAATTTCATTTGATTTATGTGTGGGCTGTGATACTGTCCGGGTGCCCAGACCAAAGCAGGACTAATAACCTATAAGGGCCATGTATCCCGGGTCATAAATTAGAACAAAGTAATATTTTATAAGGATTGAAAAGTTGCTTGTCACTCGTTTCACCATGATCAACTGATATGAGTCCCAAGTGAAGTAGCGTCCAAATTACTAAGGGAAATATATAGTGATTGATTATTTTTTTTATACAAATCGCTTATTAGCCGTTAAACATAGGAGTTTATTTTGAATAAAGTTAATTATGCATTCCTGGTCAGTTTAGCTAATTAATTAAACAATGTAGCTTAAATTAGCAAAAAATAAGTTAAGTTTTCCTCAATATGTTAAAATGTTGAGTTGTATTAACTAGATTCTTCACATTACTGTTAATATCTCTGTTTTAGTTTTAAAACATGTTAAGCTCATGTTTAGTTTCCATGTATTCTTCAGGTAATTTTTTGTTTGATATGTTTTCTTATCATTGAAATCTAAGCCCTTAAATGATGTACTAAGACTGTTTAATGTAATAAATTTATCAATACACCATATTACATATTGTTCGGTTCTGAGAAATATATAATAAATTTATAAACTATTTAACATAAGATCTGAAGTTCTGAGTTTGGTCTAAAATTGCAATGAAAAAGTATCAAGTAGTTTCTATCCATTCATAGTTATCATTTTTACTAAATGCAACAATTTACTTACAATATATCATTATGAAATGATTATCTGATAAAAAGAAGAATATTATTCACTCTTTTTGTTATCGAATACAAACTATATGTCATACTGAATATATATTCAAGAAAAACTTAATTTCATTCAATAAACTTATGGAAGAAATATACAGTCAAGAAGTCAGAAATTCTATTTGTTAACTGTACTTCATGCATTTCAAATGAATAAGACATTTGATATATGTCTACAAAATTATGTGTTTGAAGTTATAAGATTTGTAGTTAAACGTTTTGTAAATTTTACAAAATACAATTAACCCTCTATCTGTACAAAGACTAGTGTTCATCATTTATTTGGTACTATATAAATCTACCAGGTTATATTTTCTATAAAAACTGAGTGCGTTAACTTTAGTTTAAGTAGATATCTCAGAATAGTTGTTTATTAAAAAACAAAAACAAACAACGACTGGGTATATTAAATAATTTCGTTTCAATTCTGAACCAGTTTTATTTATATTCTTCGTTAGTTTATATTTGTTTCTATTTATGAGCATATTTTTTTCTGATATTATTCTTTTTCTTTTGAAAAACAAATATATATTTTAATGGTTAAGATCATGAGTCAATTGAAGCTAGACCACCATAGAAAACCTGGAAGCACTGGATGTCCGTTTCGTCCTGTTGTGGAACTCCTCAGCAGTGCGCATCCAGGACATCGCCCCCTGAGAGATTCGAACCTATGGCCTACCGGTTTCGCATGCGAGCACCTAACCACTGGGCCACTGAGCCGGCATTCAACGGTGTTAATGTATAACTTCAACTAATCCACGAAACTGAGCGACACATCCACCGTTGTCTTCAGTAAGTTACTATCTCATAACAGACCTGGTTGAACTCCGCTGGTCACTACTTCTCACTAGAACTTCAGCAAATACCTCTTGAAGCCAGTCACTATTGAGCATATGTTGATTAATATCCACAAAACCCTTCCAAATATATATTTGTCTTTTTTTCAAGGTTTCAATATTAGAACCAATTTCAATCGAACAAATTCGTGATTTAGTACCTGCTTTCAAGGGTCCATTATCTTTAGAACAATTGGATACAAGTCATTTAGTGAGTTATTCTATTTTATGTGACAATAGTATTTACTCAAAATAAGATTATGATAATAATAATATTGTTTTTTAGGAATATATATCTCTGAAAATTCCAACTTTTACTACCCTTTATGAATTTCTGCTTTGTAATAACTGCTACTTTTATCTATTTTTAGAAAAAAATTGTTATAACTTGTGGCCTGAGTGCCATGCTAATGTATACGTAATGATACCGCCAATCAGAAAGCAGTGAATTATCGATCGGGCCAACGACACATAAAACCCATGAGAGCAGTCTAGAATCCTTATTGGCCTTGCCTTTTGCCTAGCCCAGCCAATTAAGTCCAGAACACCAATCTCAGCCTCTGAAATATAAATCATTTATTTCGAGCATACTGGGTTTATATACCAATCAAACATACCACATCGTACTGTAGAATATGAAACAAAATTTGTACAAGAATTAGCCAAATGTGGCTGTGAATGTGGCAGGTAGTAATTAATAGACAGGCTACAATTGAAGAATGGTAAATCGCATAATAATAGTTTATGGGTCAAACTAAAGCTTATAATAAGAGGGAGATCAATATGAATAGTTTAGTTATTTAACAACTATACGATAAAAATATATTCATAGTATTGGTCCATAAATAGATCCCAAAAGTTACCATTCATTATGCTTATCGAGGCATAACAAAAATAATAAAATGTTCAGTGGTTTGGTTTCATACATTTACCATGCATTTAGTGAGAAAGATATGCTTATTATTATAGTTTTCATTACGGACTGATCTTAGTTAAATAACCATTGGAAACTAGGAAGTTTTAGATAACTATTTCTACTGTTCGAGAATATACATCCACTACATCTCAGGGATTGAGACTAAGATCCTCGGGTTTTACGGTTAGGGCCTAACCTTTGGACTGCTGAGCCGGCATCCAATAATTTACATGTTTAATTTTAATCAATCCATGACATTATGCAATCATTTTCCAATATCATTAATAAGTAACTGCTTCACATTCGTTTGGTCTACTGATTCCTAGATCTTGACAGTTATTTACCTGAGATCCGTCTTTGGTGTAAACTTAAAAAAGTCAATAACCTTAACAGACTCCCTATAGTATTCATTACTATTGTTGTATTTTATTTCATATTTAAACTGGCTGTTTACCTCTAGAATATCTATCACTGTTCACTTCAAGTGATCCATCCTTTTTCACTCTACACGTCATACTTACCAATGAAACGTATATAGCTGCCATTTTTCGCACCATCACTGTTATATCTTTTATAGATGACATTATATGTTTTTTGACTATGATCGTTGAAAAAAAAGTGATTGAAAATTATACTACTTGGATTATGACCGGTAATAAATTCCAAAATAATGAAAAAAGTGCAAGGTTTCGTACAGAATACATATTACCATGCAATTTATTATAATAAAGCTAGTATTCTTCCGAAGTCTCCTAATTTTCTATTGTTGTATACCCGATTCTAACGTGTAGTTTATTTCAGAGTCCCAGATGTTAGCGAACTGATCAACTAGTCATACATATTTTTCTTACTTTATAACAGCTTTAATTATACACTTTTCACACTGAATTCAACATAAAGAAGTTTCATTAATCAATGTTTATCCATGTAGATACTATGATTTATATGTAATAATCGACACTTGCTCTAGATTCAATAGTCAGATGACAAGAAGTACATTTAATTCTGCTGTTATTTTTCCATACTGGTTTTTATTTGTTTTACTTGTTTGAATTCTCCATATATAAGCAAAGAGAGCGTTTGATTGATTACAAAATAGTAACTAACGTCAGGATGAATGAATTCTACTGATCATATCTCAGCGTCGTTATTAATCTAATTTATTCGATATTTCACGAACTATTTTAAGATACTAGTTGATTAAAGATATTTTCTACACGAAACTCGGAATCTAATTATCTTGATAGAACTAATATTCCATGTGAAGTTCAAATTTGCATCATTCTGCTTCACAATCTGATACGTTACATCTGAGCTATCTGGGTCACAAGTCACCTGCAATCATCTAACAAGTCAATAAAATTTAGGCAAATATAACATTACTGTAATTATTTGCTATTAATTAATAACCATCATCAAAAGATCATAGTAGTGTGTTTCATATTTAAATAACTTCATACAATTCATTATTTTTATGATAATTTAAGAGTATCATATCTAGTTTATACACAATTCTCAAAAGTATAGTTCAGGTGTTTCTCAGTCACTAATAGTTTATTTCACTAAATGTATTATCATTTGTTTTTTTTATAGATGGTACGAAATTAATACTCATACACAATATAAACTATCCCTATCCATTGTATATACAACTAGAGCCGATCAATAAAACTGAACACATAGAATGTTGCTAAAACATTCTCGAAATACTTGATATAAATTTTAAGTACAATTAAATGAAATCAGGATAGTTTTGTTGTGGCCCCCTAAGAGAACCACCTGCTTCGGTCTGGGCACCCGAGCAGACTCCTAGCCCTCACACAAATTGGATGATTTATGTGGCGCATATATATTGCGTGTCTTTTTGTACCAATGTTTATGTGTTTAAGTAAAAATAATAAATAAATAAATCAACCTATCGTTTCTCACTAATATTTTTGAAATAATAATCTTATTTGTGCAAATATGGATAGTGGCTAGCAATGGAATCCAGGATGCGCATTTCCTCCTATTTGGGACTCGTCAGCTTGGTGTACCTGAACCCGAGTTGATGTCCACTCTGGGACTCGAACGCAGTACCGTTCGCTCCAAACGTCATCGCGTTATCCATTTAGCTACTGAGTCCTGGGTACTAGGATTACGGTACTGGGTTCGGGTTCCAGAGTGACCATCAACGCTAAAATGCAGGTACATCCGACTGACGAGTCCAAAATAGGAAGAGATGTGCATCCTGGATCCCATTGCTAGCCACTATCCATCTTTGCTTAGAAAGCTTGTGACTTAAGGCTATATCGAGGCAATCCTTACAGGATGCGCCTATGCCAACATGAGACTGATCAATCGCAGTCCTAAATAACAATGGGAAGATACAAGTAAAACAACATCAAGTCAATAATCTTGTGTTTTAAAATGACAAATTTAAATAAGTACTATGATTTAAACCAATTGCTTTGTTCGGTATATTTTTTTAAAATTATCTATATAATAATTTTTCTGATGGCTAATTTATTATCAATGTTGTGGTATATACTCTGAAGAAATGACTTACATTAAGTCACGAAACATCAGAAATACAATTTTTCTATTCATTAGGATATAAAAAATTTATTTATTGTCAAATTTCTCCTCAAAACTCTCTAGTCCAACCTTGGTACTGATACTGTGGTGTGTGCTACTTATAGAAATAAGTAGTATATGATGTTAGTCGTGAACGGAAGGTCTGGCAGCAGAGACAAGAGGATCGAACAGTGAAGAATGGAAACAGGATGCGATTTGTATGAAAATACAAGAACAATGAAGTCTGAGTCATTTTGAGACAATTGATGGACATTTTGCAAATTAAGCATTTACTTTATGATTGTTAGATTTTATTAACAAGTCCTATAATTTTGTGTTAGATACATTCGATTGTCCCCACCCGTGTTTTGTTCACTACAACACCTATAAAGTTGTATTTTATTTTTGTTTCTTTGTAATTATGTATTTTTGAAGTTAAAGCTCCTTTTTAAATACAAAACAACTTAGTGAAATCAATGGTTAGAAATAATTTTGTTCTCACGGTATACAACCATCTTTTTACATTTTAGATAAATGGAAATCACTTAACTATTTCCAAAAATTAGTCTGAGAATATCAAATTTCTAGTTTTAATATTATCTTATAGTAGTTAGGTTTTATTTGATAATTTATTTCCTAATCTTTATTCTCTTGTGTTGTTTATAAGGAGTTTAATAATTGAAGGATTTTATGGTAGTATATATCATTAGAAACGTATCAAAAAAGTGCATTCATTTAGTGAATGACATTCACTTGACAGCTGTTTATTGCATCAACATCCATAGCAACCTGCTATTTAAAATAACTGTTTCAGCTAGTATACAACGAACGTCAGGGAAATCCTGCTCATTACCATCTTGTGGCGAGGATGTTGTTCATGTAATTGAAAGGATAAAATGCAGACGTCCAGTGTTTTAGCCGGGTTGATGGATATGGAGGATCCACCTAGTGGAATTGAAAAATCTCAATTCCAAGTCAATGGTGCATATGGGCTCCAGGATTCTGAGGGAACAAATGATATATGAACCTATTATTGACCACCGACTACCATGGGACTGCATTTCCTTACGCTTCTCTACTGCCTTATGAATTAGACCTCTAGACCAAAAGATTGGGGAATTGTTCCCTTTAGAAAAAGTACCCACTTCTGCTCCCGAACCATATTCTAACCCACACACAAATCAAATGATGAAGTATGTCGTATATTATATTTGGTGCTTCTTTGTACCAATGTTTATGATAATTAAATAAATAAATATCATCCCGTCATATCAAGTAGAATATCTGTTTTTCATTTAAGGATGACAAAAATTATAAATATTGATCTTCACAAATAAATAAATAAATAAATAGGTGATTTAAAGAAGCTGTTCCTAATCGAATTGCCAATAAAGTTTATCTTTAGTTACCAATCGACATTTTGTCCACTAACTAGTATATACATGTATGTATATACCAGTCATATTGCATATTCCTTAAAAAAATTAATTATAATTTTTATTAAATATAAACTATAAAACTGCTTTATTTATGATAAGTTGTCGTGTGACTTTAATAAATTACCTAATTTCAACAAACTATACTTCATATATAATTATTAAGTTGTGAACAAGAAGATGAGTGGGGATAATCGAATGTATTAGACACAAAATTATAGAACATCTCAATAAAATCTGAGAACCATATAGTAAATCCTTAATTTACGAAATGTCAATCCATCATCTCAAACTCCATTGTTCCTTTTGCAAATATCAATCCATTGTCTCAGATTTCATTGTTCAGGCCTTTTCATATCAATTGCGTTCCGTTTTCGTTCTTTCTTTATCGATCTTCTACTGAAATACATTCCATGCCTGACCACCGTTATATACTACTGATATGAATATAAGTAACCCACACTACAACTACAGTATCCAATTGTGGTTGATATGAAATTATTATCTTTATTAATAATAATAATATCGATATTAATATTAATAGTAACCACAACAAACTTCAATAATTATCAAACTATATTAAATAAAAGTAATTACTTTAAATAGTCGTTTTATATATCCTGTCTTACAGATTTACATTGAATATAATATGAAAAAAATTTTCTAAATTAAAACATTGATAAGCATAAAACTATATTCGTTGATATTTATATGTGGAAATAACACTTGAGAGGATGTAATTAACCTAGGGATCAACAATTTATCATATTGACCTTATACAATCCTATTTTATAAATGAATTAATTCATGTTAGCATAATAAAGACCTTTTTTTAAAATCATGATCTATGTGTATAAGTTTGATTTCCTGTATTGTACTGACATAAGTTTATTTCACAATTGATTGACCACTGGGTGGCGATCGATGTCATGCGTGCCTAGTCCTTATTAGTGCAGATCATGTTGCAATATGGCCACCAGTCTAGGTGACTCGACAATGCGGGCACTATATATTGAGATTAGATGGTGGTTGGAGGTAGTCGACAGGCAACCCTGGACCCGGGTTTCGTGCCACTTGGCACTCGTCAGCAAGGTGTACCTGTAATCTTGAGGGAACTGGTGCATTGCAACATGATCGATAGCATTCGATCTGCACTAATAAGGACTAGACACGCATGACATTGATCGCCACCCAGTGATCAATCAATTGTGATTACATCTCAGTCCTACAGGAGGTCGGTCGCGGCTCGGATAGCTCAGTGGTAACGTCTCTGACTGTGAAGCTGGGTGACACGAGATCGAATCTGCCTGGGAGCACCAGTTCCCTCAAGACTACGTATGCACCTTGCTGACGAGTGCCAAGTGGCACGAAACCCGGGTCCAAAGTTTCCTGTCGACTACCTCCAACCACCATCTAATCTCAATAAGTTTATTTATTTGATAATATTATAGTTAAATTCATTTAACCTTTCAATTATTTATTTGGTATAAAATTATTTATTTATTTGTTCACTATATTTTAGTCTGTTGTTAGGTATATTAATTTCATGGTGAAATATTTTTTTTAAAATTATTGATCAGAGTGGGGTTTGTGGAGATTGTAGTAATTTTAATAGTTGGATATGTATTGTTGAGGAGTCACATAGTGGGACGAAACGACCGTCCTGTGCTTTCAGGTTTTCTATGATGATCTAGCTTAAATTGACTCACGAATTCAACTGTTAAGATGTTAATAATTACTAAGGAGTGATCAATATATTTTAATTTTAATTTATTAAAATATCTTGCAGCTAAATTGAATATCAAATTATTTTCATTCAGAATTGTTTTGTAAGACTGAATTTCTTGAACATTGTTGAGTTGACTTTTGTCAGTTAGCGTAAAAACCTTCAACACGTAGGTAGGAATGGTAGGTGCTTTGAGTGCGTTGAGGTTGGACACTATATAAGAGACTGCACCAGGGAACAGAAAAACAGAATGTTTACACAGTAGGTATACTGAATCTTGAGTCATTTATTTGTATGGTTTTTGCGTGTTCTGCAATCCAAGTTGATCCTAGACTGTCTTCTACTGCTTCTCTTCTATCTTCTAACATATTCTGCATACGCCGCGTTTATTGACCTACTGGGATTCTTCTCTTTGAGAATCGACTGTAGTAACTTCTACGCGACATTCCTATATATACTAATTATAAGCAATCTTATGAACAGTATTCATTACACTAATACCAGATCAGTGAATTCTTATTTCAGTGTATCATGTTTTACATCATATAGTTAGAGACTATTCAAACAGATATCCGATTTGTTTTGTAAATCTGAAGAAACTAATTGTAACTTCAATATCTTACTAATTGCCTTTATATATGCTAAGTGAATATTGTATTGCATCATGAGTTTGTAAAAAAAATGTTACGAATTGACCCAAGCTGAAGTTCACGCCAAATATTTTAAAACATAAAATTATATGGACCTTCGTGTAATTATGAAGAATGTGATCAATGTGTAATATTATTTGTGAATTTCCGTATAGGTTACAACAACTATTCAATGCTCTCTTTGACTTATCACGAATTTTATCTGTCAATATAAGGGGAAGCACTTTGAATTATATTCAAATGTTTGTAACTCAATCTAAATCATATCTTTTTATACTGATATTGTTAGCTAAACATTTTTAGAGCAAATGCATTCAATAAAAAGAATAAATAGTTTAAGGTGTGTCTAACTGGCAAAAATTTCACCGCTCAGCTGATACTACCTCTCGATATATATGAGGGACTATGTTTTTACCATTGTAAACTATGTATTTTTCTAGTGTTGATGAAGATTTACTTGTCGAGTCTTTTTTGCCTACCCATTTTTTCCTGTTGGGTTTTAACAATTCATTTACACTTGTTATAGTTCATATCAGGTTGTCTAATAATTTCTTTAGAAGTTTCCTTTTGAAAAAAAAAGAATTTATACACATATAGGTAAATTGATACGATTTAAAACAAACAGACTCCACTAAACATTACGAGTAGTTGGCAAATAACAATTGTTCCTCTCATAGTGACTTATATCTTACTAAGTCCAAAGGATATTAGGAGCTATCTATAACTATAAACACTAGATGATTGACAAAAATACAGCCCTATAAAAACGCTTAGTCATTCACTAATTACTTAGTTATGAGCCACACCATAACTTTGAAGGGTAATAATACTACTAGGTTGCCCAAACTGAAGTAGCTAAGGAGAGACTTAAACTTGGATTTTAGTGACTGAAATTTAACATACAATATATATAGAAATACCAATCCTGTCTCCTATAAACCTACTCTGTTGACCTCTATCTTAATCGCTTCCTGACAATATTAATTCAATGTGTCCTTATAAATAATTGTTTTCATATCAGATTAATTAGGGTTATTATTATTTTTTAGGCGGCTTTATGTCGATTACACGGTCTCTCTATATATTCATATATTTGGATGATGAATACATTATTATGGAGTGATTTATTCAAGAGAAAATCCATTCTAAAAACATCTCGTATACTTGTATTAAAGAAACATTCATATTTCTTATATGTTGAAGATCAATGTATGCAAAAAGATAAGTTATTCAATGATAATTCTTTATCGATTTTACAAAATTCTGAATTGAAACAAGTAAGTATTTAAAAGATGTTATTATTTCTTCTAGAAAAGTAAACAAATATATATAATCAGAATGGGTTTTGTGGAGATTTTAGAAATTTCACTGGTTGAAATCATGAGTCAATTGAAGCTAGACCACTATGGAAATTCTGGAAGCATTGGGCGGCCGTTCCGTCCTAGTATGGGGCTCCTCAGCAGTGCGCATCCACGATTCCTCCCCCCCGCGAGATTAGAACTCAGGACCTATCAGTCTCGCGCCAAGCGCTTAACCAACTAGACCACTGAGCCGGTCTAGCTTCAATTAACTCATGATTTCAACCAGTGAAATATACATAACTAGGCAAATTTACTATTGGTTATTGTAAATGGATTACAATTATTAGATACAATTGCACAATTTTATAGTTTAATATTCTACTTTAATTGATCATTAAAACAAAATTGATACTTGAAGTATTTAAAGAACAATCGTTCTCATTAACTGTCTCTTAGTTCTTTAGGCAAAGATGGATAATGGCTAACAGTGGAATCCAGGACGCGCGTTTCGTCCCATTTAGGACTCGTTAGCTGGATCTGAACATCAACTCTGGGATGCAAGTACATCCAACTGACGAGTCCCAAATGGGATGAAACGCGCATACTGGTTTCTATTGCTCGCCACTATCCATATTTGTTTAAAATGCTTGTGACTTAAGGCTTTATCGAGGCAGTCCACACAGGATTCACATATGCCACCATGAGACTGATCAATTGCAGTCTTAAATGACAATGTGAAGATACAAGTAAAACAATGCCTAGTGAATTTTAAGATAGTACTTTGTAAATCTTTAGTTAGAAATGAATTTTGTTAAAAAAAACACGCTAATTTATTTTTTTATGTTAGTTTTCTGTTGTGAATAATTTTTTGAAACCTTTCTTAATCGTCTTATTAAGTACTACTTATTTTTACTTATTATTGGCTTTATTCAATATTATAATTTTTTGTATAATATAGAATTCTCAGCACGAATTATTTCAGCGAGTTTCCATTTCGTATTTCTTGATCGATATTTTCGATAAATATTGAGTGATCGATAGTTAGATATCAGCATTTGAGAAGTCAACATCTGAATAATATTTATTCTTTTCAATGGATATTCTCAGACATCAGGATGTCTCCGATTGTACGTTTCTGTAACTTGTACAGCGAAAGGTCGTAAACATTTCATAAATGCACCTGAATAAGTTATGCAATTAATTGACATAATGATCTGTTAAAACAAATAAGGAAACAGATAACTTGTTGAATTATCTAGATGACAGGAACAGGTAGCCCAGATATTCAAACAGATTGCTTTGCAATTTTTGGTGTTAGTTACATTTTCCTTATTTAATTTTATTTCATGAGTTGGATGATTCTGAATGAATGTTTTTATTCTGTTATTTAAACACATGAACATTGATAGAAAAAAGCACGCAGTATATATGTGCCACACTTCATCATTCGATTAGTTTATGAGCTGGAATACTGCTCGGTAGCCGAAAACGAAACAGCTGGTTTTAGGCCACATTTGGGTCCTTTGACCTAGAGGTCCAGTCTATAAGGCAGTGGAGAAACGTTAGGAGATACAGTCCCATGGTAGCCGGTGATCAATATTAGGTTCACATACCATTTGTTCCCTCAGGATACTGGAGCCCATGTGCACCATTGACTTGGAATCAGGGTTTTCAGACTCCCGTTCATAGATCCTTCATATCCACCAACCCGAATAAAACACTGGACATTCGCATTTTATCCTTTCAATTTCGTAAGCAATACCCTCGTAGCGAGAAGGCAGTGAGTGAATTAATGTATTATACTACTTATGACTTATTATTTAGTTGTACTCTTATAAATTCTCACCACGACTTGAATTTAAGACTCGAATCCAATGGATTACTAACTTATGCTTTGTATGCAATAGTTATTCATTGTTTGTAGTACTTATGTACTTTAGTTTACTGACTCATAGACAAATGGTTTAATCGTTTTGTTCTATTTTTAACGACATCAACCTTTTTATCTTAGGTGTGTAACACCTTTGGTTAGAAAATCACACTTCGATATCATTAATAAACTGGAGAAACATTTATTTTGCCAATAATCCCATTATCTTTGAAGTGTTTCTAAATTTTCTATTTTGTTCGTACGAATTTCTCCTTATTCTGAAGAATATCCCTAGTACTTAACTTCAAGTCAAAATTATGCTCAGATTATTGGGGTAGTTTTTATGTGGACTGTATTAATTTTTGAAGTAATTTTATGGATTAAGTTTTCTTCAATCAAGATTTAGTAAGATGCAGATAATTGACGACTATTAATCAATCCTGGCCCATTAAAGTTATTTCTACATTTTGATATACAAACAACAAACTCATTTTCTAAGGGATCTTATGATGTATTATGATCCTCTAATTATGGCTCTTGGTATCTTTATGGTTACGCCATAGGATTGGAGTGCATTGTTCAGGCTGTAAAGAGCCTTGATAATGTCTGATTCTCTTGGAAATTAATGTAAAATTATTCTCTTAGAGGGTTTATTTATGATTGTGATTTGACGTTTTTTAGTGTTGATCTTTGTTTTTATTAGCTTTGTTTACTACGAGGAATTAATCCGTACTTATTAAATCATAAAGATTTGGAGGAAAAATTACAGTATTGGATTTCAGCGTCAACCGTTGCTTCAGGTAATAACAGTAACTGACTCCTTAATGTTTGTCAAATTGATATTATATAAGTATGATTAGTAGAGTGGTTTTTATGCCACAATGTTTGTATGGTGTGTTAAATATGTTCAATTTACTTACGGAATAGTCAGCGAAACAATGTTACCTCCGCGTGACTATCGTAACCAATGACTAGAAACTCTTGGTGATATGGCTCACAATTGATCACAATGGCATTGGTGTATACACTCTTTGTCTTCCCTTAAACCGTGAGATTAAAATTGTTTTATACTTTTATATGAAGTAATTTTTTCTTCCTGTATTATATCCTTATACGCAATCGTTCTTTTATATATTACTACCATTGGATTAACTACTTCTATAAATTTGATGTTCATCTTGTTGTGCTAATGAGGTTTTGCAACTTGGACCGATGCATATATGTGCCTGGTCCTACGTTGTAGCTGACTGACTGACCTCATCTCCAGTGCTAATGGAATTGTAGTGTCGTTATTAGTCTGAGTGATTTGATTCCATAGGGGAACACACTTGATGTTATGTATCATTTCATATTTTTCATTCTATGATTTCGTTTTCTCACTTCAAACTTTATGATCTAATCTAGATGTTTATCAATCCCACTTTTAATCTCTTTGGTTTATTCCTTTTGTTATGCTGATGTTACTGTAAATTCGCGTAATCACGGAAAATGGTTCTTGAATTAGGAAACAACAGAGGTTTGCACCATGTTATGAAGCAATCGAAGATGGATGTCGGATGAAAATTTTATTCACCCTTCAAATACCTGACGATAAATACTTACTAACCAAATATTTTTACTTATGTACAGATTTTACTGGAGATTAGATCAACAAATGTCATACATGACTGAAATAGTTTTAATATAAATGAATCTTTCATCTTGAACTATACAATTGAACACTAAATATCACATTGGACTAATATCATGCTAAACTTATACAAGAAATATTGTATTGAAGAAATTTATGTTAACAATCGTATTACCTGTAAACATGTCTTTCTTATGTATCACCAAATCGTTTTAATTATATTCTGAAAACAATTACAGAATGCAAACCACTTTAAAGACACGTTGATGAAAATAGGAATGTAACATGTAGAAAAAGGCAAAAGATTTCAAAAGATATGATTGATGCATAGTTTGGGTTAAACATTTTTGCACAAAGACCTTATTCACATGAAGTATGTTATCCAAGTTAAATATTTAATTATAGGTTGTAACATTTTATAGCACAGCATTCTTATCACAACAAAACACTGTAATAGTCATCCGTCTTGTGAAAACAAAGTTATCTCTAGTGTGCAATATAACAAGAATATAAGCACACTATGATATTGGTAGCTACAAAATCATGGACATTTTGGAATGATAAATGTTTCATAGTATGCATTTGTTGAGAACCAATATTTTCTCAATAGACGGACTGTTACTTCATGCTTCAAAGTGAAACTTGCTGCAAAAGGGAATTTCTATCCCGTTACAGGGTAATTATGTTCAAATACAACTACAGAAAAAAATAACACAGATCAAGAAACAAAAAAATTTACTGTGATAGGTATATCACAATATATTTGGACGATTGTTTCATGGTCTACTTGTTTAAATTTTATTTAAACTAATAAACTGTGTACTGTTGAAACGGCGGCTAACCAATATGTTGAGGCTAATGTCCTCAATATCTGACTCCAATAAATAATATCTCGTTAACTGAGTATTTAATGCAGGCTAAATCTCCTGGTAGAATTATGGAATTTACGCGAGATTATTCAAAAGCCTGAACACCCGTTGTAGAGATAATTTATTGTTAATGATTAATGAAAATCCGCAAGCGTACAGCAAGCAAGCACACGGTGAAGCCAAGTGGAAATGATGCGCAGCGGAAATGGCTGGGAAGCCAACTCATTTTTAGTCAGGCGTTAATCAATATTTATAGGCAGACAAAATAAACTACAGACATGTGATGAGACATGGGATAAGAAGTGTACACACATATACGCTCATATAAAAACAATGAAGACTGGTAAGCGAATAACTAACAAGGTCAACATATGACTCAAGTAGAATGAATAGATGGGCCTGTCCGAAATCCAGAATAAGATATATGGGCTTAAAAATAATAACTGACACTACAGTACATTCTTACAGTGACAAATAGAATAAGGTTTGAGATTAATCAGGAATAGTGTAGGCGTCAAGAGATATAATGTCTCTATGATGCAAAATTTAATGATTGTACTCAATACTGACAGTGAGCAAACATTTAAAGTTCCTAGTGGAATGATATATAATCGCTTTTGTTAGAATTTTCAAAGAAGCATTCAATATGACTTATATATTTGTTGTACAAATGACAGTAGTGAGTTTCTTTTTCATGAATAGATTGTGGCAAGTTTTTTTTATTCAGGTTCTTGAGAAACTACTTGTAAAGTAATTCAGTGTAATTTCTATGTACTAAACTAATATTATTAAGTGAACTTTTTGTTTTAAGTAGTAGATTTCCAGTTAAGTAATAATAATACTTTTGTATTTGGAAATTTTGTTCTTTTTAATTAACATTCGAATTCATTAATTGTAAATAAGTGTAAATAAATTAATTTGTTTCTATGTTAATGCATACTACCAGTATGATTATGTTAAAAAATTTAATTTTTAGTTCTAATTAACTGGAATCAATAACTTTTTGACTTCTTGTTCATCCATTTAGTCTCTAACTAATAAAATCCGACTGACAATTAAATTTTAATTGTTGAATATTATTACATGGTTTACAGCACGGATTAATTTTAGTCAAACAACCTTTGAAACCAAGAAGTACTGGATATCTGTTTCATTCTTGTATGAAACTTCTTAACACTACAAATCTACGACTCCTCTGCTGATTGAATTCAAAACTTTCATGACCACCTCCTAACTGTTGAATTACGGAGCTGACATGTATAATTTTAACCAATTCTTGACTGATTTTGAGAGGTAATCCTCAGAGTTCTAATGACCAGTAAGGTTTAGCTATACTGAATACGAGGCAGTTACCCACCAATCGGGTGACTGCGCATTATTGTGAACTGATTGAAGTTAGATATGTAATCTGTTAAATGCCGGATCAGTGGTCTAAAGTTCTATTGCTCGCTACGTAACTTGGAAGTCTTAAATGAGACCCTCTCGGGGCAAGGGAATGGATGAGCACTGTTTCAAAGTTTCAAACAAGAAAGTAACAGTTGTTCAGTCCCTCCTGGTTTTTAGTGGTTGTTTAACTAAGATCGATCAATAACAATAACCGTAAAACTCATCAATCTCTTCTAACTTATAGTGAATATCGTTGGCAAACTAACGTTTGAGAGTTAGGAACATTAAATTTATTTTCATTATCTCATTAGAATTAGTCGTCCATCATTATTGTCAATGTTTATTTTTTCTAACTATTAAGTTGCAGTTTTTTGTGTGATGTTTTTACTTGGCAAATTTATCTGGGAAAGGTGCTCAATACTAGTATACCTGCACCCTAAATGTCTATTGCCTCACTCTATTATAAATGATGAAGGAACTTATGAGAAAGTAACATGAATATAAATTCTCAGCTTGATTTCGCATATCTTACGTAAACTAACATCGTTTGGTTGATAGAGATAATATAAAACCAAATACAAATGAAGTTGAAAGAATTGATTTCCGACATTCTTTTATGCAAACAGACAATGAGTGATGCAAAGTCAAAGAGATGGTGGTAAATATATCTACTCAAAAACATAACACTTATATGTATAATAGATACGTATATACATGTGAACACATATATACATTTGTCCAAAAGTTAGGATCATCCTTTTAGGCTTAGAACAATACAACTTTACATGAAAATGTTTTTTAAAAAAACTCATTTTGGCAATATGTAACTTTAATTACACTAATAATCATGCATGTTGAATAATTTTCATTATTTTATTTTTAACTAAATTATGCATTTATTTATTCCTTGACTTTTTCTTTCTTCTTTTGTATAGAAACGGACTTCAGTTTTCGTTTACATCTTCCCTTATTATTGTGTTTCAATAATATTGATATTAATAATAATAATAGTATTGATAAATATTAATTCACAGTTGGTATACTAAACAGATCAATTGTAGATCTTTTTATATTTTTATATGACTTATTATTATTAATAAAGTCATATTATACCTATTGTGCTGTTAATCTTGTGTAAATCTCTTTCAATATGTATATATGCTTACTTACGCCTGTTACTCCCGCTGGAGCATAGACCACCGACCAGCATTTTCTAACCCACTCTGTCCTGGATCACCTCTTCTAGTTCGATCCAATTTTTGTTCATTTTTCTCATGTCTATCTCCATTTCCCGGCGTAATGTGTTCTTTGGTCTTCCTCTTTTCCTTTGATCTTGAGGATTCCATGTTAGGGCTTGTCTTGTGGCGCAGTTGGGTGCTTTCCTCAATGTGTGTCCTATCCACCTCCATCGCTTCTTCCTGATTTCTTCCTCTACTGGGATCTGGTTTGTTCTCTCCCACAGTTGGTTGTTTCTGATAGTGTCTGGCCAACGGATCCGAAGTATTTTGCATAGACAACTGTTAATAAACACCTGTATTTTCTGGATGATGGCTTTCGTAGTTCTCTAGGTTTCCGCCCCATATAGTAGAACTGTCTTGACATTTGTATTGAAAATCCTGACCTTGGTGTTGGTTGACAGTTGCTTAGAGTCCGCGATGTTCTTCAGTTGTGAAGATGCTGCTCTTGCTTTTCCGATCCGCGCCTTCACATCTGCATCAGATCCACCATGTTCATATATATATATATATATCAGTATGTTTGAATAACAATTGAAAAAGTAATACCTAGTGCTCGTAACGAGTGAACATTTCAGTTTATCTTCTCATTGTATAGTATTTGTTGTCTAAAGTTTGAATTCGACTGATTAAATAACGAAAACTTAAACCTAACTTTCTTCATCATTAGTAAAGATAGTTTGAAAAATTTATGAAATGTGTACCTTCTGGCATTAGTTTTCATTCTATGTTCTCATGTTATTAATTTCTTTCCTATATATAGACATCAATTGTGGCAAATTAGTGTCAGACGCGAGGTACTATATTGTTAATGTTTGAGCTGAGGAGATTTGTTGTTATGTAGTGGATTCTGTTATGTTCTCAATGGACTTGTTTATTATCCTGTGATTAGATTGTCAATTACAATACCGACTTTGTCCTTTTAATTGTACCAAAGCAATGACACGTTGACCAGTATGAACAGCCTGGAGTGAATTTCTGACTCCTTATTCATCCTTCTTGTCTTGCCCTGCCCGCTGAGTTCAGAACACAAATCTCAGCTTCCTCTGTGTGAATCATATATTTCAGACGTACGCCATTTATATACAAGCAAGTCAGGCTGCATCATATTATAAAATAGGAAATAACAACTATACAAGATCAAGTCAAAATTGGCTGTGAGTGTGAGATAGATTGAGGGTAACTTATGATTAGTAAATCGAATAATAATAGCCAATAGGTCAAATAAAATCTTATATTAAGAGAAATATAAATATATATATAATCTAGTTACCTAGTAGTTTTACAATAAGAATATATATATAATAGTTCCTACAAAGTACCCATAATTTAATATTTTTCCGATACAACAGACACTACTCACAACATTGCTTGTCAGTAGTTAGTTGTGAAATGTGGCCTTGAAGTTGTTGGAAAGAATGAACAGTTTCGGCACGGCGTTGACAGAATATTTGGAGACCAAATGTTTAAATTGTTCAGATTGCAGAACACACCAAAACATGCAAATGGATGATTAAAGGCTTTGTATATGTGTATTTTGTAAACGCATTGTAACTTCTCAATATAAATATAGATTCCATCTGCCTATTGCCTTCTTTCACATTTCATGTCGCTGTGTAAAAATCTTACTTGGGAAAGGAGAAATAGTGATTAACATGACACCAAAATAAAAAGACAAAAACTGACAACTGACCTTTCAAAAATACGATGTCAAGCTAACGTACTCATTTATACATCAATTTTACTGACATTAAATGACTAATTACCAAATTTCACTATTAACGGTAAATACCAAAAATGAAATTCACATTGAATTAATACATATCATATTATACTGAAAAAATGTCATATTTAAATAAAGTTTTATGTTAACCAATATATTACCCTTCAAACAAAACTAATATTCAACTGGACAAATATCATACTCAGTTGAACCATGATCTCGTGATTTGGATTGCATCCTAACATTTATTCTTTAACTGAGCTTCGGTTACCACATATTTCGAAAGGAAAATCATCACTAGCATATTTAATCTAAGTATTTCTTTTTTTAAAATTTGACCGATATCAGCTTGAAAAGTTCAATTTTTTGTTACCAATTAACTGCAGTCCATGTAGTGTAGTGAACAAGAACACGATTGGGGAACAATCGACTGTATTGAAGCATAAAACTACAGTGCATCTCATTAAAATCTAAGAATGCTTAATTTGCAAAATGTCCATCAATTGTCTCAAGATGACTCAGACTTCATTGTTCTTGCATTTTCATACGAATTGCATCCTGTTTCCATTCTTTACTGCTTGATCCTCTTGTCTCTCTGCTGCCAGACATTTTGTTCCTGACTGACGTCATATACTACTTACGTCGATATATGCAGCACACACCAAAGTAGTATGCTCGGTTATTGACAAACGAATCTGTCATCACATGAATATTTCTTACCAACAAGGTTTTTTTATTGGAAAAGTCAATTATTCATAATTCTATAGGTGCATAAGATGTGTAATGTCAATTTCTAATCTGACATCACTTATATTATTTAGTTCAAATGACATAATATTTGGTTGTTAACTTCTCAAGCGTAACCATTATTAAGGAATATATTATCATATTTGTACAATTTTGAAATTCTCAAAAATTATTATCGAGAAGGACCTAACACACATGACACTGGTCACTACCCAGTGATCAATCATTTGTAAATACATCTTATTCCTACAGGAATTCGCTCACGATACTGATAGCTCAGTGGTAACGTCTCTGACTGTGAAACTGCGTGACACGGAATCGAATCCGCCAGGTAGTACCAGTCCTATCAAGACTACTGGTACACCTTGCTGACGAGTGTCAGCACTAAACCTAGGCCAAGCAGATCTTCCTATCGACTATCTCCAACTGCAAACTTATATTACCAAGACAAAGTAGTATACCATCCGATTGAAATGACTGAGTACTTCATTTTTAGACCTTCCATTATCGCACAACTCAGAATGTACATATTTGTACTATTACTAAAACATCAAACAGAACTTGTAATTCACTTGATATTGTTTTACTTGAGTCTTCCCATTGATGATTTAGGACTGAAATTGATCACTCTCTTATTGGCATATGCGCATACTGTGCATATGTCTCGATATTGCCTTAATTTACAAGCATTATAAGCAAAGATGGATAGTGGCTAGCAGTGGAATCCAGGACGCGCGTTTAGTCCTGTTTGGCACTCGTCAGCCGGATGTACCTGCATTTCAGAGTTGATGTTCACTCTGGGACTCGAACTCAGTACCGTTCACTTCAAACGCCATCGCGTTATCCACTTAGCTACTGACTCCTGATAGCCACTTGCTTGTGCAATCGGGTGAAGTTTAATTCACTTGATATTGTTTTACTTGAATCTTCCCATTGATGTTTTTGGACTGAAATTGATTCCACTGCTAGCCACTATCCATCTTTGCTTATAAAACTTGTAATTGTTTATCAATCATTAAAATTCTTTACAATGATTATTAAAATTGACTGTTTTCTCGAATAATCAATACAGTCCTTTTTTCAATGAAAATATTGCTTAGTAAGTTACCAAGTAAATAGTTTATATTATCCTTAAACCTAATACTTGAAATAAAACAGTTCATTTTATATCTAACATTATTAGCACTATAGAATTGTTTGTCTCATTATATACATATGTATCTGTTATTTGAATGACTTCTAAAACAAAGTGTTATAAATCTCGTTTACTTTCTCTAACGATTGATTTCTGATTTCTTTGTGGGATATACATCTTTTCATGTGCATATATATAAATATATGCCTATCTTTCATATTCATTTCTTTTCATACTTTTTCTATGAAATAATCATCTGTAGTTGTTTATTCTATCACAGCACTCTCTAATTTCCTGATATGTAAGGAAAATCACTAACTGCTTTTCAAATGACATTTCATTTACGTGTACTTATTAACTGTCCATCTCAATAAGTAATATTATTCAATGTTGGCGTAGGTTAAAAGAAAGCTATAGGGTATTGAGTCGAAACATTGCATCAGTTCATGAAGTCATGAACAGTTGAATGGAACCAAGTAGATTTAAGTGAGAATTATCAGATTACGTTTTGCGCGAATATTTTAACGAATGATTTGAAACTTTGGCTGACATAAATCATTTACTGCTATACTGGTAAATTTACTTCTTATCTTCTCTTAGTTCCAGAATCATTAATTCGGCGAGACTATAATTTATGGATGAACTAATCAGGTATAAGATAACAGGTCGCGGATTTTGGCACAACATTCATTCATTTATTTGGTTAAATAGCGTTTTGGCATTATAGTTGATGTCAGTTCGTGATGAAAACCCTAAATCTAATTCCTAATCTTAACCATAAAATTTAAATCATAATCCTTATTCTTTAAACTGTTTTATAATCCTCATTTTTTTCTAATTATTAGGTGGGCACTCTCAAAGTAACTCTAGCATCGTTCAAAGGTTGTTCATAAATTATAGTCTCCCCATGAAATCTTCTTAAACTTTTTGATTTTTTTCTTTTTGACATGTAATTTTCTCTCTAATACTGTTCTTGGTATTTATTTCGATCATTTTGTTTTACTGTACTAATGTACTGTAGCAACATGAGATGACGTAAATATGTTTTAAATTTTATTATGCATATGACCAAGTAGCTTTTTCAGGGGTCTGAACAAAATAAATCTGTATTTTAATATGAATATTCAATGTTGTTGTTTTAAAAATCATACTCCTTTTTTAGGCTTTTGGTTTATTATATCATAAATTATTATAATAAATATTTTTACAAGATAATGAACCAAGGGAGTTAGTGACAATAATGATGTGAACTACACAATAATTTATAGTTTAGAACAATAATAATTTA